TACTCGAGGCCTCTTGGCCTCCCTCTCCTATCACTCTTGGTGACGAACAGACTCAATCTCACATGCTATATCCACAACCTCCTCAAAGGTAGCACCAGTCACCCTCTCCCTGGTCATCAGAATACGGAGCTGATAAGTAAGACCATCAACAAACCTCCTAATCCTCGCTCTATCTGTTGGGACCAACCAGATGGCATGACGATCCAACTTAGAGAACCTCAAATCATACTGCTACACGGTCATCTCCCCCTAACACAACCACTTAAACTGCCTATGCAGCTCCTCTCTGCGAGACTGCGGCACATACTTCTCCAGAAAGAGAATGGAGAACTGCTGCCAGGAAAGGGGTGCTGCACCAATAGGCCTACGCCTCTCAAAATCCTTCCACCAAGTGAAAGCAGCTCTTGAAAACTGATAGGTGGTAAAAGCGACCCCGCCGGTCTCCAGAATACCTGTAGTACGAAGCATCCTCTGACACTTATCCAAAAAGCCCTATGCATCCTCGCCCTCTACACAACTGAATGACGGAGGCTAAAGTCTACCAAACCTCTCCAACATATGCTGCTCGTCCTCCGACATGGCAGGAACTACATAGTCCTGAGCAGCTGCAACCGGCTGGGCTGGATGTACCCCCGGCGTCTAGAGTCCCTGCACGACTTGCTCAGGTGTGCGAGCGGCGGGAGTCTGATTGCCTCCCCTGGCCTGAGAAGTAGCTGCGGCTGTAGTGGCTGAAATAGCCTGAGCTAGGCCAGTGCAAACTAATAAGATTTGAGCCAAGGCCTCCTGAAGACCCGGAATCATGATGGGCACAGCTGGTGCCTGAACTAGTGCTGTTGGAGCATCCATAGCTGGAGCTTGATCTTGAGCTAGGATAGCTGGTGGATCTACAGGTGCTGCCCTCGCTGCTCTGCCTCTACCACGACCACGATCGCGTCCAGACCTATGGTGGCCACAACTGGTGGCACAGGTGGTCATCCACCCTGTCTGATAGCGCGTGTCCTTACCATCTGTGAGAGAATAGAATAACAGAAGTTTAGTACTCAGATCAACAAGTTCGAACGATAAGAATTTCAAGATATGAAGTTTTCCTAAAGGTTCTGCAGCCTCTCGAGGATAAATATAGGCATCTCCATACCGATCCGCGAGACTCTACTAAACCTGCTCATGACTCGTGAGACCTATGTAACCTAGACTCTAATACCAACTTGTCATGACCCTAACCCGGACCCGATTGCGATGGCACCTCTCGTGTAGACAATGCCAACCAACTATTCCAAATTCGACGTTAAACAGTTAAACCAGCAGTAAAATAGTCTAAAGACATGATTAATAATACGAAGTACCAGATACTATCGATAAAAAATGCGGAAGTATAACCCAACACAACCCTAACCAGGGTGTCACAAGTCACGAGCATCTAACAACACGGAATCCTCAAATATAATTACAGAATGTAAACACTGAACTAATGACATAAAGGAAAAGAGATAGGGAGGAGCTCTAGGCTGCGACACTAACAGCTACTTAAAGACTCCTCGAGATCCGCCTGAAGCTGGAATGAATCAGCACTCGGGAGCGGGACCAGCTACGCCTGAATCTGCATACGGGGTGCAGGGAGTAAAGTGAGTACTCCAACTCAGTGAGTAACAAATGTAAATAACAACTAAAAGTAAGAAAACACGTTAGGCACAAGGCATTCTATAATGAAGCAGAAAACCATTTAAAGTAGTAAACCAGCGAAAAGTCAAGTAAAAATCCTTTCTCAACAAGTAAACAGGTAATTGACAAGCAGTTAAGGCAAAGTAAACAATTAGAAGTTCGCCCCTCGGGCACAGTATCAACAAATCCGCCCATCAGGCAACATCTCAGAACAATACCAGCCTCTCGAGCTCAATCTCACATCACAATGGGTACTCGCGCTCACTGGGGGTGTGCAGACTACTGGAGGGGCCCATTACGGGCCAAGCGCAATAACAAGCCATCTCATGGCATCAAATCTAGACCCTCGGCCTCATATCAATCAAGCCACCTCGTGGCGTACATATCTCAGGCCCTCGGACTCAAATTAGTATCAGTGTTTCCTCACAATATAGGCCCCTGGCCTTACTCAGTCAAAAATTATCACAAGCCTCTCGGGCAATAGTAAAATAGTGTTTCTCAACCCAAACATCATTTAAAATATCATTTAAGTATTAAAATTGAGTAAACATGGCTGAGTAGTAAAACAGTGGAAAATAACATGACTGAGTTCAAGTATAAAGTCTAAATAGTGAGAAAATATCAATAAAAAATCTCCGAAGGATTTAAATAGTTGGCACTAGGCCCTAATATGACATTCATCCCAAATAATGATGATAACAAATAGTTTTCAATCAAATACGCGGTAAAATAGTCATTCGGGACGGACCAAGTCACAATCCCAACAGTCCACGACCCCACGCTCATCATCAAGCATGTGCCTCACCTTAATATAGCACTACGATGTGCAATCCGGGGTTTGAAACCCTCAGAACATCATTTACAATCATTACTCACCTCGAATCGGCTAAATCTCTAACTCGCGATGCCTTTGCCCCTCTAATCAGCCTCCACGCACGTCGAATCTATCCAAAATCAGAACGAGGATATCATATGCTAAGGGAACAAAGCCCAAGCAAAAACAATCAATAAAGGGCACAAATCCCGAAATTAGCAAAACCTGACCCCCGGGCCCACGTCTCGAAATTCAGAAATTTTTATACCAATAGATTCCTTATCTTCCCATGAGTTCATACATATCAAAAGTTCTCAAATCCGACCCCAAATGGTCCTTCAAATCCCCAATCAAAAGTCTAAATTTCCAAGCCCTAGTTCTTCAATTTTAGGCTTAGATTCCATGATTTTATAGGTGGAATTCACACAATAATCTAGTTTTAAGTCCAAGAATCTTACTCCAAGTGATTCCCCTCGAACCCCTCTTCAATCTCCTTCAAAATCTCCAAAAACGACCAATTATGGAGGAAATGAGCCCCAAAATCGCGGACAAGACGAGTTAAAAACATTCTGCCCAGACCTTAATTTCCTTCTTCGCAAACGTGGCCAAAGCCTCGCGTTCGCGAAGCACAAAAATAATGTTGACCATAATCCTCTTACACGAACGCGATACGACCCACACGAACGTGATGCTTTTCCCAGATGAACCTTCGCGAACGCGGTCCTTCCATCGCGAACGCGATGGGTTAATTTCCACTGAAGCTTGACCTTTCAATTCCTTCTATGCGAACGCGACTACACGCCCGCGAACGCGATGCACAACCTCACAGCCCTTTGCGAACGCGTCACCTGCCTCCCGAACGTGAAGGCTAAACTTCCACCTCCCTAAGCAGACTCTTTGCGAACGCGAGGATCCTCTCGCGAACGCGAAGACCAAAATGTCTGCAACTAATGGAACTCAAAATCTGCAATTTTTCAAACTTCAAAATGATCCGGTTGACCACCCAAAACTCACCCGAGGCCCTCGGGACCTCAACCAAAGGCACCAACATATCCTAAAACCTTATTAAAATTTGTTCCAATCATCAGAACACCTCAAACAACATCAAATCACCCAAAACACATCGGATTCAAGCCTAAGTTTCTAAAATCTTCCAAATTTCGCTTTTGATCAAAAACCCAACCAACCACGTCCGAATGACCTGAAATTTTGCACACACATCTCAAATGACACAACGGAACTACTGCAACTCTCGGAATTCTATTCCGACTCCTATATCAAAATCTCGCCTACCAATCGGAAATTGCCAAAATATCAACTTCGCAAATTCAAGCCTGAATCTTCTCCGGACCTCCAAAACTCATTCCGATCACGCTCCTAAGTCCCAAATCACCTCCGAAGCTAACCGAACCATCGGAACTCACATCCAAGCCCTCTAAAACATAAGTCAACATCCGGTTAACTTTTCCAACTTAAACTTCCTTAAAAGAGACTAAGTGTCTTAAACCTTACCAAAATTATTTCGGACTCGATCCGACCAACCCGATACCACAAAAATACGGATTACGAAGCATAAAGAAGTAGAAATGGAGGAAACGAAGCGGTAACTTATGAGATGATTGGCCAGGTCGTCACATTTAAATATGAGGGAAGCTCTGTCTATCACCTTTTTAATCTTTATGTTGTTACAATTTCCATTCGTGAGCAAATCCACTATGATCTTCGAGTCCATCTTGATAGAGAAATTACTGTACCCATTCTACCTACACCATTTCCCTCCAAACTCTGTCGCTTTAGCCTCTGCTATGGTATTATTATCACAACTGATAGGAATAGAAAAAGCCGTAATAAGGTCCCCTTGACTGTTCCTGACCACCCCTCCAATGCCTGCCTTACCACTTTTTTGCAGTAGTTTCCATCCTATTAACTTTGACAGTGCCAGGTAGAGGAAACTCCCATGTAACTTGTATCCATTTTTGAGATGGTTTGAGTCTCTCGATCTTATCACATAATAAGGTTCATTCCATCTGAGTGTAGTCACCAGGTACCATATTGGAGATAGTTGCTTTCAATGTCCATATGATTTGGTGTCTCATAGAGTTCAGCTGAAACTTCTTCTCTTTTCCATATCTGCAAGCATTTCTTTATTTCCAAAGTTTCCAGCATATGATTGTGGGAGCTATCTAAAGCATTTGATTGTGCACTTTATTGTTGATCGTTGTCTCTCACTATCTTTTGAAGGTAGAAATAATAGGCTCCCGTTGATGTTCGATTCCAAATGTATTTCCTATGTTGTTCCATATGAAGATGGCAGCTTCACTACTATTAAAGACATGTTGAACTGTTTCTACCTGCGCAGAAGAACAACAAGAACATCTGAAAATAATATTAGTACCAAATCTACAAATAACATCATCAAAATGGCAGTCTGTTTTTGAAAATTCTCCAAGATATAAAGGACATTTTAAAAGGGAGAGAATTATGCTAGATTTTAGATATTCTTCTATTTCTTGAATATAATAGAATGTCATGCTGAGTTAGAAGAAAATCTCCCATCATTAGAAGTAGTCCAAACAGGGAAGTCATCCTTATTTGGGTCTCCTATTTCCAAGTGAGCAATATTATCAATAAGATGCGTAGGGAGAACATCATTGAGTTTGTCAATATTCCATTCTCCATTATTCATGAAGTATTTCACGTGTACTTTAGAAGATCTCCCACTACCTTGTAAGATGTTGGCTAAAGCATCTTTACCTATCCAGTTATCCCACCAAAAGCTACAATTACCTTTTTGTATTTCCCATCTAATATTTTTCTCCGCTTTTTCCCTGATTTTGAGCATGTTTCTCCAAATATGAGAATCAGTGGGATTTAGTTTTTTGTTCGGTGGATGGGCTCTTTTGCAATATTTATTCTTGAGAAAGTTGGCCAAAAGGGAAGGTTGAGTTCTAAATCTCAACCATCTTTTATTGCTAAGTGTATCTATAATATTCTCCATTTTTTTGACACCAGCTCCTCCCTCATCTTTAGGAAGACAAAGGTTATTCCATGAAGACCAATGGTATTTGTTTTTACCTTCATTTATACCCCAGAAGAAATTTGCAAAGTGTTTCTCCATGACCTTAGTAATTCCTTTAAGAGGGTTCATAGCAGATAGGATGTATGTGGGGAGGGATTGCAGGACATGTTTAATCAAAATCATTCTCCCTCCAGAGGACATCATACTGGCTTGCCGTCCATTGAGTTTCTTGATAACTTTAGAGAGCATACCGTCAAATAGATTGCTAGTTTTCCTCCCAAAATAAATGGGGCATCCCAGATAAGAGAAAGGGAAAGGCTTATCCATATAGCCTGTAGCATTTCTAATTCTATTGATTCTTGCAGCACAGGTGTGATGGGCTGTAATAAAGAAGCTCTTGTCATTGTTAACTTTCTACCCAGAAGCCTTTCATACCTGTCAATAGCCTTTTTGATTAACTTGGAGTCATGTTGTTTCCACCACAAAATATAGTAATATTATCAGCATAGGTTAAATGATTGATCATCGGACCTCTCGGATCCAAGCTAAAAGGAGTGAAGCCAGTAAAGTCATTTAGTGCATTTAGAGATCTAGAGAGAACCTCAGCTCCAATAATAAACAAAGAAGGGGATAAAAGGTCTCCTTGTTTGAGGCCCTGAGTAGATGTGAAAAAACTAGTTCTAGCCCCATTGATAATGATAGAGTACTATATATCTTGTAGAAGTCCCGAGATCATGTCAATCCAATTTTTAGAGAAACCAAATTTTCTCATAACTGCCATCAGAAAGGTCCAGGATATTTTGCCATAAGCTTTTGCCATGTCAAGTTTTATTGTAACATTGCCTCCTCTATTCTTCTTGTTCACGCCCTGAGCAATCTCCTGAGCTAAAAGGATATTTTCAGTGATCGGTCTTCCTTTCACAAAGCCACTTTGGTTCTCTGATATAAGCTTCCCAAGAATAGGATTCAGCCTTCTAGAAAGGATCTTGGAGATAATCTTGGCTGTAAAATTACTCAAACTAATAGGTCTCAAATCCGAGAAACTACTAGGAGAGCCAACTTTAGGAATAAGAACTAAACAAGTATGAGAAAAAAATTTAGTGAGCCTCCAACCATTGAAAACAACTTGAACAAAATCAGTGATATCCTCCTTAATGATATCCCAACAAGATTGAAAGAATTTTCCATTATAACCATTCGGCCCTACTATACTATCAGGACTCATGTTGAAGACAGTATCTCTAACCTCTTCTGTGTCAGGAATGGCAGTGAGACTTTCATTGTCTTCATCAGTTACGCATTGAGGGATACAATTGATGATATCATGATCATTGAAATGGTATTGATGTTAAAGAACTGTTGAAAGTGATGGACAGTAGGAGCATCCAATCGGCAATCTTTTTGGCTTGACCAAGAAGTCTTATGTCCTCCGAGTCACATGGTGTTTTAACCTAAAGAACTTCTTGCACAATTCATGCCTTTCTGTTTTTATGACCAGAAATTCTTTCTTTATTTTCATATAAAATTGTTCTTTGGACTTTTTATCAATATGAGGTGATCGTAACACAATATATAAGACATATTGGCATCCCCCTCAATCCAGTGGCCTCTATGGTCTTTGATTTTAAGAATTTGCAGCCTTCTCCTTCTCCCTTTGATGGTGTTGTGGAAGTATTTAGTGTTAGCATCTCCTTCTTCAAACCAGTTCACCCTAGCTTACTGTCTGAGAATGTCATCCTGCATCCCCATCCATCTCATCTACTCTCCTTGACCTTTGTTCAGTTCTGGTGGTGTCATTACTGTTCATAAGATCCATTTATTCAAGGTCCTTCAATTTTATTTTCCCAGTATTGAAATTGGTTGAAAACATTGCCAATGTCGTCTTTGGACCATTGAGTCAGTCTTCTGCTCAGCATTTTAAGCTTTTGTTGAAGTCTCCACAGAGGATTTCTATTAACATGATTTCTCCAAACTTCTTCAACTACCTGCAAAAAAGTTGGTTGATTAGTCCAAAAATTTAAAAACTTGAAGTATTTAGGCCCCTGCTGGTTAGTGTCCTTGCATTGAATTAGAATAGGTCTATGGTTAGAGTCAATTCTAGCCAAATGGTTGACAATATTGTTATGAAAAATCTGGGACCAATCATCATTGGTAAAAACTCTATCCAATCTCTTTCATATTCTTCTTCTTGGCTCTTAATTGTTACACCATGTGTATTTTGGACCAACAAAACCCAAGTCTATCATACCACAGTTATTCATGCAATTACTGAATTCTATACTTTTGTTCATTCTGTGAGGTCTGCCACCTTTTTTCTTATCCGGATCAATAATGACATTGAAATCACCCCTGATACACCATAGACCATTCACTTGAAGATTGGTTAACTCTAAAATACTCCACAACTCTCTCATTTCTTCAGGAGTACATTTAGCAAATACTGCTATGATGTAGAGATCACTTTTGGCAACCCCATAATACAATTTGATAGTAAGTTGTTGTTCGTGGTTGTTCAATATAGCAGTCATGTTGTTGTCTGACCATATGATCCAAATCTGACCATTTGAATTTGAGATACAATGTTGATAGTCAAGGAACCTCATGCACTTTTCTATTTGATTAATACTGACAAAAGGTTCCATAATAGCAATTAGTTCCACCTTATAAATGGAGATCAATTTTTTAACCTTGGTAAGACTTTTTTGGTATTCACTCTCCTAATGTTCCAAAAAATGGCATTTATCATGGAAACAGTTCAGGCTAGCATGAGTGTCCCCCTTTAGGAGGTGTAGTAACTTTGCTTTTGTCGTTTTTCCTTTTTTTCTTTTCTTTTCTTTTCTTTGGAACATATGATCTAGAAAGACTCGTCATTTGAATCAATTTGTATTTGATCTTCAGGAACCATTACTATCATCCTATTAGGAGATGTCACCTCTATTTGGTGACTAGTCACATATCTATCTTGTTTTGATTTGGATTCCATATTGAGATCAACTACCATCTCAATCCCAAGAAGATTTCGAATTTCAGAAGGCACACTAGTAGATTCATTGACATAATCACTTATGTTTAGGGCTCTCTTTTGTATTTTTCTATTTTCAGTCTTTCTTGTCACTCTGATTATCATTTTCTCGAATGGACTCCTGCATATTTTCCTTTGTTTCACTGTTATTGATATAGACTTTCTGCTCATGTTTGTGTAGCTTAGTTCTCGAAGGCAACTGATTATTAACAACCTTAGCTTGATCATTGACAGCCTTAGCTTGATCTCTCTGTTCATCAGCATTAGGCTGCCCTTGAACATTCATAGCATTATCAGTGGTACTGTACTGGTTCACGTTTTGAAGGGCCAAACTTATCTCTTTGTTATGTTTCTTCATCCTGCTAGAATCATCAGATAAGTTGAGCATTGTTTTGAAAATGACTTTGGCTTTCTTCTTAGGTAGTTTTCCATGTTTTCTTTTTTTGGTTTTTTTCCTGGATCTCTCTCTGATGTTGCTTGATGGCTGTTGCAGGGGTTTATCAGATTCTATCTCACTTTTTTGCTTTGGAGTAATTCTGTTTTCAGTCTGCCCATTGTTAACGACAGTTCCAGATTCTGCAGATTCAGACTCTCTATTTTGATCAATTTGTTTAGCAGCTTCTCTGTTAAAGACAGTTCCAGCTTCCAGATTTTGATCAACAATTCCCCTATTATCCTCATTCTTATTTTCAGCATGATCAATCTGTTGAGCCTCTAACTCCCTATTTTTAGCAGCTTTTTTCCTCTCTAAAGCTCTACAACTGACAAATTATGCCCCAACTTTCGACAGAACTTGCAGTATTTAGGTACACCCTCAAATTCAATTTTTTGCACAAAGCCTTTTTGAGGTGCATTGTCATATATTTGACCAACATAGACAGAGTTCGGTTGGTCTTTCAGCAAGTCGATTTCAACTCTTACTTTGGCCATACTAGGCCTTGTTCTTCCCTTAGTAGCTAAGTCCATTTCAAGGGGAGTGCCAATTGCACTCACCACTTGTTTAACATAATTTCAAGTGTGCATATGAAAAGGTAGGCAAGGGAGAAGGACCCATACTGAAGCGATAGGCAAGTCTTCCTCCGGCTTGAAATCCGACGACCATTTTTAAAGCCACATTTGCTGCCCTTCAATCTCGATAACTCTTGTAAACCAAACGGAATTAAAATCTTCTTCATTAGTGAAATCTAGGAACACATTATACATATTGTAGACTCCAATCTTGACAGAGCGCTTTAGGGGTGGGCATAAAATCTGAAAAATTTCGGTATTTCGATTTCGTTTTTTTCCGATATTTCGGTCTAATTCGGTATTGTATTTTTGGTATTTCGGTATGGTTCTCGCTATTACCAAAATTTTAAAGACATTTTTTTTGGACCCTATATCATACTGCCCAGCCCCAAGCGCCCAAGACCAAGTTTCTAATTTAATTCATATTTTTCATTGCCCCAGCCCGTCGCCCCAAGCCCAACTGACCATGCCCACTCAAAAGATTAGGGCATTACTCATTAGGTTAGGCCACTAGCAATAGCAACGCCGAGTTTCTGTTTCACTCTCTCTCTCAGTCTCTCACAATCACACAGTCACTATTTCCGTCTCCAATCTGGGCATCTAGCGTTGGTGATTCTGACTCCTCTCTCCTCACTCAATCATTGGATTATGCAGAAGCTCTCTAAAAAGCAGTCTCTTTTATTTCGAAGCTCAACGCTCCAGCTAGGATCATTTGAATTTTTTTCGTTGAAAATATTTTGTGTATATAAAGATTTCATTATCTTTATTCTGTGATTGTTTGAGGCTTCTTTCTATATTTTGTAAATCCGGTCTCTATTTTAAGTTTTGAACTTTAATTTCTGTGTGGTCACTCTTCTCTATTGTTCATTGAGAGCAGCCGATAAAGATTTGATTTTGATTTCTGGGGTTTCTTCATTCTCTGTATCTTGAATTTGAAATCCTCTTTGGCACAAGTCAAGAGCTTTTTATATGTTTATTTCTCCATATCTTGATATTTTGAGTTTCCTTAATAAATGTCTTGAATCTGCCACTGAAATAGTGAAATGTATAAAAATTACGCTCTCGTCTGTAATTGTTCTGTTTTCAGATGTTGGAGAGCTAATTTGTCCTGTAACTGTTATGTTTCAGATGTTTGGTTCTGCTACAGTGCTGTATTTCTTGTTTGTTAAGCTGCATTTCTTGTTTGTATTTTGGAGGCTGATTGTATTTTAGCCTGTTGAGCTGCATTTTGGAGCTGCTACAGTGCTATCCTAGATAGTAGAATGTTAAAGTTTGTTTGTTTGTTATTTTCTGCTGCATTTACCGTTGGTATTTTGGACTTTTGGTACTAGTTGTAGTGGGTATTAACAAATTTAAGGGGTCGTTTGGTAGGGCGTATAAGAATAATGCTAGATAAGGTGTATTAGTAATGCAGGTTAGTAATGCATGGGTTAGTAATGCAAGCATTAGTTATACAGAGATTATTTCTTATGCATTGTTTGGTGTGGAGTATTAAAAATTAAAATGCATTGCATAATTTTTAAGAAATTTAATTGTTTACAAAAATGCCCTCCATATTCTTTAACTTAAGGGACTTTAAGGATAATTTTATCTTTAACCATGCTAATGCATGCATTAATAGCCTTTGTATAGCTAATGTCATGGTTTTCTATGCATTAGCTATACATAGGATAATACCAAATAGAGTGTATAACTAATGCTTGTATTAGTTATACATAGGTTGAAAAAGTGTACCAAACAAAACATTACTAATACACAAAGTTAATGTATGCATTATTTTCTCTAACACACTCTATCAAACGACCTCTAAGTGTTTTAGATTAGTGACATGTTAAAGTTTTAGGCCAGCACTCTATTTTTACTTTTTTAGTGCAATGTTAAAGTTTAGAAGCAACAATTCGTTGTTCTTTTTATCAACATTTCGTTGTTCTTTATCACCGAATATTAACCCGAAACCGTACCGAACCAAAATAATAAATACCAAACCATACCGAAATACTTTGGTACAGTATTTTGTATATACAATTGATAAATCAAATACCGAAATACCAAATCGAAATTATTAAATACCGAACCGAAATACCGAATGCCCACTCCTAGAGCGCTTAATCGATATTAATTCCTTGAATTTTGACCTAATTTTGTCAATTTGGGGCCTTGGTTTGAGGAATGTCCCAACGATTGTGAGTTTGCACTCCTCCTCTATAACACCATTGTAATCTGTGTCTTTAAATAGAACCGCCGGGATGCCATTGTGCATTGTGTGAGTCGCAATGACAGACTCCCGACCATGGCAATTTGAAGGGGTCGGAGCAATCGATGAAGAAATGACCTTTGTAGCATAGGTTAATTTTATGTCAATTGGATCTGATGGTTGGTTCGCCATGTTAGTAGGAGTCTATTGACCACCAGGTGCGCCGGAGCGGCGCCATCCGGCGGGTCCATCGGATGGCGCGTGAGAGATACAAATATTTATAATATAGCCGTTGGGGTTCAGTTGTAAAGAAAGAAGAGAGAGATTTTTTTTTCTAAGGTATGCGTTTTTTGAAAGAATGATATATTCATGACCCGTTTATAAATTTGACATGTTTTGACTCATTGAAGATTGATCCATTCCACCTATTTGCCACCTAATATGTAAATATGCTACTTTCTCCGATCCACAATAAGTGATCAATTTGCTTTGGGCACACCCATTAAGGAAATACTAAATTTTAGACAAAAGTAGTTAGTATGACTAAACTATCCTTAATTAAATATTGCAGCATAGTTAATGCGAAGAGTAAAAGACTTTTTAGGGATACGTACATGAAGGTAATTTTGAAAAAACAAATTGAATTGTTTCTTGGTTATATAAATGTACACTTATTTTGGACCAAAATAAAAAAACAAATTGGTCACTTATTGTGAACCGGAGGGAGTAATTTTTTAGGGACTTTGAGGTCCTAATCCAATTACTATTGCTCCACTTTAGTTCAACAGAGTTAATCAGAAAATTTCAAGAGAAATCAATGCTTACATTAATGGATGCCATTTAATTTCCAGAAGTAGAAAAAGAGGTGCTCAAACTTCTATCTTGTTTATTGTTTCGTCTATTAAACATTTCTGAAGATAGCCCCCTTCTATTATTTTTCATAATAATATTATTTGTCACCATCTTGAACCAGTTCCATATCCATCTAAAACTATTTATACAATTATGATGTAACAGTCTTTTTATTAGATTAAAAATAATTCTAATATATTCTGCATTTATCTGGCGTTGTTGCCAAATTATGAAATATAAAAGATATTGATTGATAATAATAAAAAGAAAAAGATAGAAAGAGACGTGTTTGACCAAACCGATACTTAAGAAAAACATCTGGAAGCCGTAGCCATCACAAATAGCCTACTTTTATCTGTGGTGGAATTGTTGAAGCAGACATTTTAATAATTGAATCCCTTAATTAGTAAGTGGCATCGCCACTGGTTTGAGACCAAAATGTTTTGGAATTCGTGAAGTCTTATTATCATCAAACTAAACGAAAATTCGGCAGCATTAAGAATGTATTTCAAAGTGATTAACAAATATTTAGTACCCATAAAAGGAAGTAGAAAAAAAGCTACATGCATGGTACGTGGTTTTCCAATTCACAAATTCAAGCAAACCCTGCGGATAACAAATGCTTAGTTTGTATTAGGAAATTTGTTCATTTGATTACTAATGCATTTAAGAAAATATTCGTCAACCAAATAGCTAGAGGTGTAATGTATCACCTTAGTTTTTCCAAGAAATTTTTATTTCTACTAGTATTAATTTTTCAAAGGGATAATATTGACCTCCTCTTTATTAGAGTACAATTTTAAAGTGGTGTTAACTTCAAACTTGAGACCATTCATCATCTTCGATTAGCAGTGTGGCACGTTGGACCCTGATGTATTCACATTCTGATATATGTTAAATTGGTTGATTATTCTACCTCATAGAGGACGCGTCAACCGTAATTTGTTTCTTTATAACTGAAATAGTCATCTACTAGTAGTTGGTAAGTGGTAACCTAACATATATTCGTCACATGAAAAATGATTATTCATCTCTCTTTGTAGTTTCTTCTCAACGTGTACGATACATATATTTTTCTCCCTTTCAAATTCAAGTGGAACTGCTTCATTTGGCTACGTTAGAAACGTCAAAGCCATCCAACATGCTATTATTTTTTCCAAATTAAAGGATATATCTTGCCTTCTGCCTCTGTTTCTTATCTCTATATGTATAGAGGATTTTGTCTCCATATATATGCCAAATTAAGCATAGAACACCATATTACAAGTGATATTTAATATTTCGTATAAACTAGGAAACATATCTTAGGTTATGGATACCCTCAAGAATCTCTTGCTCTCCCCTCTCCGTAGATTCATCCACAAAGATTTTCACGAGGCCGTAGATAGAATGGCTCTCGTGGATAAATTTTTGTTTCTGGTAATTATATTCTTTACTTAATTTATTATCTACCCTAATTGATGATTGCTCTAGACTCTAGAGTGTGTGTTTTGGTGGTGCAACGGAAAGTATTTTTATGACAATGTTTTTCAGAAAATACGTCATTTTTTGTTCTTTGATTGCTAAAATTTGTATTTCCATGAATAATTTCCACTAATTAATGGAGAAAAATCAGTGTTCTTCGAAGTCATTTTCCTTTATAATTATTTCAACTCTTAACTTTATATCACTGTTTTTACCCAACAACTAGATATTAATATCAACCTCTAATGCTCAAATATTTCATCGAAGTACAACCTGATTAATTTGCTTATATTATTAACAATCTTTAATAGATTCTTTTCCTGGAATTATTTTTCACTTTCAAACAAACTCCGGAAAATATTTTCCAGGGAATGAGGCAATTTCTTGGAAATATTTTTGGAAAATGATTTCCTAATACCATACTGCTTCAGAAAAACAAAATTCTACCTTTTGAACTGACGGGAAGACAACTTCGTAAGATAATATTTTTGCGGTTTCCTTTTCTTATTTTTGATTAAAAGTCTGATTTAATAATTAGTGTGACATGCATGCAGATTGTTCATTTCATTGATAAACTGAATCTGTGGCACCGACTACCGGTGTTTTTTGGGCTACTTTATCTTGGAGCGCGGCGGCGTCTTCACCAGGAATACAATTTGATCAACGTCGGTAGAACACCTACCGGCGTTCGATCAAATCCGGCCGATTACCCTTATCGAACTGCTGACGGAAAATACAACGACCCGTTTAATGAAGGTGCAGGCAGTGAATTTTCCTTTTTTGGAAGGAATATGCTACCTGTTGATCACCACAACAAGGTATAATATATATATTTGCATATATATAGACAATTATCTTTGATCTTAAAAATATTGGTTAACTTGACTTATGTTCTTTCTTCCCCGGCCCATTTTTTTTTTTTAATGTTAAGTGGTTTACCAATAAATCATAATATTATCTACTTCCTGAATCCATAAATCATAATTGATTTTCTATATAGGAAGTCCAATAAGTTTGTTAGAAGTGAGAAAAAAAAACAGAACAGATATAACATAATATTAAGAAAAATAAAATCAAGAAATTAAGAGGAGCAGGAAGGTGATAATATAAAGGGCAAAGTAAGCACTGCATTTTAAAAATCACTATTTTAATGACAGGATTTTGAGATGGGATAAAAAATTGAAGATTGATTTTCAAAACAAAATTGGAACGGAGAAATGGTTTTCACCCTTTTTAATCTTTGGAGGGGTGAGGGGTAGTGAAAATTTTAGTTTTCTTCTCATCTATCTTTCAGGTATAGATGGTAGGGATGGCCAATATTCATATGTCTGGTAATCTTTTTGTAAGATGACATAATTGACTTTAATTTACCTTATAGGCAACTGGGAAGATTGACAAATCAACATATTTTTTCCCACACAAAGTCAATATATACTGCTGAATAAACAGATAATGAATAGAGGTATATAGTTTAAATTGTACACAGCTCTGAAATTTTCTTACACATGCCATGTCGGATGGACACGTTAATCTTGTAGCTTAGCACATTTTCAACAAGCTCAATGCTCACCACAGTCCAGGGGCAGAGTTTGAGGGCGCAAGGGCTTCATCCGAATTCCTTTCGCCAAAAAATTAATATATACGGCAAAATCTGTTTTTTACCTCTATATATATATTAAGTTTTGAATCCCCTTAACACAATTCAAAAGCATAGCTTAGTGGTCAAGGGTTTAAAAATTTTTGTAAGGTCATAGGTTCTATTCACACTAGCTAGAATCTTTTTCAACGTTTTCCTTTTTGAACACCTTAGCGGAAATCAAGAGAACTAATATGTAGAGGCATAATCAAGTGAACTATTTTTAATGAATGTTGTTCACCTTCTTCTCTTTTTTCTTTTTCTCAAAAAATGTAATGCAGTTGAAGAAGCCAGATCCAATGGTGGTAGCAACAAAACTTCTAGCTAGGAAAAATTTCGTGGACACAGGAAAACAATTTAACATGATCGCTGCTTCTTGGATACAGTTTATGGTTCATGACTGGATCGATCATTTGGAAGATACTCAACAGGTCAGACTATAACAAGTCTACAATACGTAATCAAATTGTAATTAGCTAGGAACTTCGTCGTAAATCTACCGGTAAATCGCTCATAGCAAATATAATAATTTTTTGATAATCTATCGCTAATCCATTGCTAATGTTGCTAAATATGATTGGCGGTGAATTATTTTGTTTAGCTACATAATTTATTCTTCCCTAATTCGTGTTTTTTTAGTTATAAGAGCAAATGGTGTAAACTCCACACACAATAAAAAAAAAAAAGAACTTTAGAGATATATAGTATTGTAATAGGGAAGTAAAAAATAAAATTTACAATAACTTTATTTAATATATTTTGTGAATAATATAAGTGGACTATGGGATTAATGTTTATTTTGGTATTGCATGTCAATTTTGTGCACAGATTGAGCTTCATGCACCTAAAGAAGTTGCAAGTCAGTGTCCTCTCAAGTCCTTCAAGTTTAACAAAACCAAGGAAACTTCAACGAACTTTTATGAAATCAAAACTGGTCACTTGAACAGGCGTACCCCATGGTGGTAAGTGCTCAAAAGATTTGATGACAAAAATTATTATTTTTTTTTACTTATCAAGTCAGAAAAAGCGTATTTTTTTGTCTTTATTTATTGTTCGCGTACGTACATGCATGTTGTGCATGAAGGGATGGAAGCGTTATATATGGGAGCAATGCAGAGGTTTTAAAGAAAGTTAGAACATTTAAAGATGGGAAACTGAAGATATCAGAAAATGAACTTATCCAACAAGATGAAAATGGGAATATCATCTCTGGTGATGTTCGTAATACTTGGGCAGGACTTTTGACATTGCAGGCGCTCTTTGTTCAAGAGCACAACGCTGTTTGTGATTCCTTGAAGGTACTAATAATCATGTTAGAGTTTAATTTATATACATCGACCATCGACCGCATAACATAATTACAATTGACAAAAAAAAAAGTCAAATTGCTAATATAAAAAGTAAGTCAATTGTTTACTACGTACAAGCTAAAATGCATTGATAGAGTATATATCATATTATATCATATTATAGGTATGAAGATCAAAACTTGAATATGAAAGACCAAAATAACCCTATACTATTATTGGACTTTTATGCCCTTAAAAGTTATTTTAATAATACCTTCAATATTAATAACAAAAGTTAGTTTTCTAATATTAAATTTGACTGGGGGATTACCGAAAAAATTTAGTAAGGTCCATGTATCTAAATTCTTCGCTTTACAAAGTTAAGCTTTTTAACTTCAGCGTATAATAATTTTTTTGAGCTAACATTTACAATTCTTAAAAAATCAAATAATTTTTTGAGCTAACATTTTATCTTCTCCTTTTATTTTTCTTAGCATAAATATTTAGTTTGTTATTAGAAATGATTTCTAAGCGCAATCTTTTTCTTATAAATACAATGTACAAGACGATATAATCTTACTAATTATATGGAATAGACGCGCAACGCGTGCCCAAGGACTAGTTTATATATATATGCTAAAACTATGCAGCCACGCAGTGAGCACAAAGCGAACTATTCTTTCGCCTTCTACTAAAGAATACTGTGTGCGCTGCATTTAGTGGCATACACCTGTTTCTGGAGGGGTTCTCTTTTTTGATTGCCCCCTAATTTTAAATAAAAAAAATATATATGCTAAACCTATCATATTGGAGATAATGGACATTTGAATCTTTCTTTAACTTTATTTGCTACGTTACAGAAAGAATATCCAGAATTGAAGGATGAGGACTTGTACCGTCATGCACGGCTAGTAACTTCTGCTGTAATTGCAAAAGTTCACACCATAGATTGGACTGTTGAGCTTCTCAAAACCGACACCATGCTTGCAGGAATGCGTGCCAATTGGTCAACACTCTCTTACACTTGTTATTTCTGTTTTGTCATACTCATTAACCAGTTGTTGTGTGACTAAAAAAAAATTAATCGCAGGTATGGATTGCTAGGAAAGAAATTCAAGGATACATTTGGGCATGTTGGAGGTTCTATTTTGAGTGGTTTTGTGGGAATGAAGAAACCTGAGAATTATGGAGTGCCTTACTCCCTCACTGAGGAATTTGTGTGTGTGTATCGGATGCATCAACTTCTACCGGACAAGCTTCAGCTGAGGAATATAGATGCAAAACCTGGACCAAACAAATCTCTCCCTTTGACTAATGAGTAAGGCATCACTTTGGATATATATTATAAACTTTGTCCACTAATTAAAATAGTACATAAAATTCAGTTATTTTAATATAAAAAGAATAGTTTTGTGACTTTAGTGTGTTGAGTTGTCCCACGTCCACGTCTGTTAGATTTGAGGTCATTGGTCTCCTTATATGGTTTTGGGCAATCCTCACCTTATAAACTAGCGGTTGGAGTTGAGTTAGGCCCAAGATTGATTTATTATGGTATTAAAGCCAGATCCATTCCAATTATTATTACCAATATTAGATTCCCATTTATATTGTCCACGCTCCAGTTTGCAGGCTTGGGCGTGAGAGGGGAGCCCAATGTCCATTTATCATAGTGTTATTGATTAAAGTTCGATTATATTAATGTGATAAAAATTATATTATGAATTCATTATTGTAATGGATATAGTTCAATAATTATATGTAAAATTAACAATCAAAATGCTACTATTATTGTAGGATTCCCATGGAAGATTTAATTGGGGGTAAAGGAAAGGAGAATTTATCAAGAATTGGTTTTACTAAGCAAATGGTATCAATGGGTCACCAAGCTTGTGGAGCTCTTGAACTTTGGAATTATCCAGTGTGGATGAGGGATCTTGTTGCCCAAGACGTTGATGGAAACGATAGGCCAGATCATATTGACCTTGCTGCCCTTGAAAGTAAGTATATATATATATATATTGTGTTATTTGTATATTATGTCATTTTACAATTTTGAATTTAAGAAAATGACCTTTTTAAATCTTTTATGTGTAAAAGACAGATCTCTTACGTGTAAAAAAAGAGGTAGAATCATAAAACTAAAAACAAGGTTGTATATATTTTCTACTAAAACCGAAATAAAATAAGGGGTATGGTCAATGATTTTTTTCTTTTAATAATCCACACGGTTCACTGATTATTATATTTGGATGGCAGTTTATAGAGACAGAGAAAGAAGTGTTCCTAGGTACAATGAATTTCGCAGGAGGATGTTGCAAATTCCAATTTCCAAATGGGAAGATTTGACGGATGATGTAGAAGCCATTAAAATATTTCATGAAGTATATGGAGATGATGTAGAAGAATTAGACTTGTTGGTAGGACTCATGGCGGAGAAAAAGATAAAGGGTTTTGCCATCTCAGAGACTGCCTTTATCATATTTCTTCTCATGGCGGCAAGGTTTGTAAATGAAAAAGAAAATTTTCATGCATACTATAAAGATAGTAAAAAATAGCTTTAAGTTTTACTAAAATGTATTTACATAATCATAACATTTATAAGGTAATTACAGATTAATTTTTTAAAGTTAAATACATTAGAGCCCGTTTGGCCATAAGAATTTTTTCACTTTTTTCCAAAATCAATGTTTGGCCATAAAATTTCCAATTTTCACTTGAAGATGAATTTTGGAATTTTTCAAAAATTTGAAAAACTCCAATAAGTTATTTTTCAAATTTTTACGCAGATAACTCACCAAAATTCAAAAAATAACCCAAAATTATATTTCATGTCCAAACACAACTCTAATTTTCAATAATATTTTCACTTGAAAAAAAAATCACTTTTTTCGAAATTTTATAATTCTTATGTCCAAACGCCCACTAAGAACTTTTACACAATTAGAGTATTATACTTGTTGTAATAGGGAATATATCTTATTTTCGAGATCACCAATATACGTTTGGATGGTTACCTATAGTTATTTTTTAGGTAACCTCATAGTCTAAATATTTTTAACATTGTTAGTGTAACTTAACATTAATGTTTACGATAACCTAAAAAAAACCTAGTAAAAATAATTACTAACCTAATATTACATATATATTAAACTACATTAATAGCATAAAAAAATATTACTATCCATGTATATGACTTAAATTCTTTTATACTAAGAGAAAGTTTGATTTGCAAATATGCAGGAGGCTAAAGGCAGACAGATTTTTCACCAGCAACTACAAGGAGGAGACATATACAAAGAAAGGACTGGAATGGGTGAATACAACAGAAAGCTTGAAAGATGTGTTAGATCGACATTACCCTGAAATAACTGAGAAATGGATGAACTCCAGCAGCGCATTCTCTGTTTGGGACTCTACTCCTGAACCTCATAATCCTATTCCACTCTACTTTCGTATTCCTCAACATTAGATTCCTCATCCATATACTTATCGAGTCAATCACATATTGCGATTTACAATGTACACATACATATATAATATATTAGATTCCTATTTTATTTTGACATGTTCTATTCGCTGAGGCACGAACTATTTCGGTTTAATTTGTAATATGACTATCCTAGTTTAAAATTAATGTTGTTCATCTCATCTATTGCTTCTTAACTAGAGAATTGATTTTTTTAAATATTATACTTGCGGCTGTGGATTTTATTAATTGAATTTTTTCTTACTATATATATATATTAGTCTCTCGGCACGTGCGTTGCACGTGAATTATAATATAATAAATTATTTGTCGAGGTCAAAATGATTGAATATTCTCCTAGCATATGAAGATGAACAATCAAAGTTTAATTAGATATATGCAATTTTTATTTTTAAATTTTTCAATTTTTTGAGGTAAAAAATTAAAATGAAGCACATCTCACTTAACACTTCTTTATAGACAATACAGAAAAAAGTCAAAATTGCCCATGAACTATAGACTTAGGGCTAAATATATCATTTGTTCACCTGTTGAGGTAAAATTGCCCCTAACGTTTTTATTTCGGCTCAAGTTTACCCTTATGAGTAACAGTCATTTCCACCAAATAATATATTTTATTTAATAATGACATGATAGCTTCTCATCGGAAGAATTTAAAATACATGTTCCCATTAAAAAGACCGACATATATGTACTCATTTTTGGACTAACCCTCCCTAAATTGTACTAACCCGATCTGAAGTGCCTAATTTTTTATTACCAAATCAAAAACAAAAAAAAGAAATCAGAAAATTAAAAAATAGTATCATTGTTTGATCAAATGCACTTGCGTTCATTCTTTGTTTCTGAGTTTTCGAATTTCATTGGTATAAGTATTTAAAAAAAACTGGGTTGATTGGTAGAATTGAGAATTGATCATCCGTTGCTGAATTGAAGAGTTTTAGTGCTTAAAACTTTTCTTAATTATTCTACTGATTGGGATCTTTGATGGGTCAAATTCGTGGCTTAAAATTGTCAAAATTGTTGGGAGAGTTTGGTATTGAAAGTCAAAATTGTTGTTTGGAACCTGCTGATTGTTATTATTGGAGGCAAAAGTCAAGTTTATCTATTGTCTTGGTTGCTCGAAAATGCAAGGAACAAAGTTGACCGCCATCGAAGCTAAGCTTCGAAGCTTGTCAAAATTTTCAGATCTAAAATTTTAGAGAGTATTTAATGATTTGTGAATGTTTATGTATGTCTAAATTTATAGTTCTCTACTAATTTGAACTAATTTTCTTGTGAAAAAAAAAACTAAAAGTTTCATTGCAGCCATTAACACGACTCTTCTTTCTTTGAAGAACCCTAATTTGAAGAAGAGGCACTTAGAAAAAAAAAAGAGTATGTGTGTGGGGGTGGGGGTGGGGGGTGAGGGTTCCTTTTTTCAGTTAGATTTTTGGTCCGGGGCGGGTTAGTCCGAAAATGGATACATATGGGTAGTTTTTTTTTATGTGAACAAGTGTTTTGAATTCGACAAATGACAAACTGCCACATTATTATTAGATAAATGGCCGTTAGTCACAAGAGTAGACTTGAGAGGAAAAGAAAACGTCAGGGCAATTTTAGCCTAATAGGTAAAAAGAAGATATATTTGATCCTAAGCCTGCAGCTTGAGGGTAGTTTTGGCTCTTTTCCATAGACGATATCCCATTGTATGTTGCTTTTGTCCATATTGGTTGAGTGTGACGTATGAATTCTAAGCTCAACTTTGAACCTCATATTTCTTATTAAATTTTACAAAGTCATACCTTTAATCTATTTTTCGCGCCTATATGCGTTATCTCAATTCATGGAAGAACCAATCAGTTCTTCCAGAAAAGAAAAGGAGAAGTAGATGTTTGGGTCGCTGATTTTATTTTTGGAGCATTTTCGTGGTCCTCATGATTCCTTCTTTGATCAAATATTGGGGGGAAATCAACGTCAAATCCTCATACTATAGACTGTAATTATAACCTCCTTCAGCACCATACAATCAACTTTCTTAACTTTGTCCATTAATAAAAGACTTTGTATTTGAATTACAAAGGAAAAGATTAACATGTGAGTGTACGTTAAATTTCTTGTTCTTTGCTTCCTTTAAAAGCCAATAGCACTTTCTTTTGTGAAATTGATGCAGATTTCAAACAAGTTGACCATCTTCTCTTGAAAACTTGAAAAAATTATAAGTACTTTCAAGATTTGATTTTACATTTTAAAATGTATCACCTTTTTTTCAATCCCAAACAGCTATAAGGTACAATTTGTCCTAAGTGTCTATTTTGGAAATAGCGTTCATAAATTAAAGAACCACAAAAGGTAGAAACACTCTTAAAATGACGAAGGGACATAATTATATAATTACTTTTCTTTTTACAAATATAAATTGCATCATCGTTCGAATATAAGTTATTTTGAAATTGTATCTTAACAGAAATAGTATAGTTCCAAATTTCACTACTATATTAGACTATTAGTATTAAGTCACAAATTAGATGATTTAGTCTTATATGATTGCTGCAATGAATGGAACCTGCGCTAAATCTAAAGACAACAGTTATTAATCACATAATAGCAAAAACTATAAGCTAACAAGAATCACACACCATGCAACTATCTGTCAACTTCTCCAAAACCATATATGTTGGTTGCTTTTATTCTTCCAAGCTTCTCTAATCAGAAAACAACAACTAATCAACCAATTAATGCAATTCGATGCCTTTGGGATATCCTCTTTCTTTTAGCTCAATCCAATGATGTTGATGTTTAGTCAGTCAAAATATCATGATCCGCCTCTCCTTAATCTGACTACCAATGACAATCTGATGCAAGAAAGGTTGGTAATTGGTGTAAAACTCCTTATTCTGAATGGATATGTTATGCAACAGACACCATATATAAATATTAGAAATGTTGTGCTAAAACATGATCTTGGTAGTTCCTATTAATCTGGCTTAAAAATTAGGTAACTTAGACTAAAATTGTTGTGTTGTAATATAAGGAAAAGTGAAATTCTATTCTTCAGGGCGGTTGGCAGAGATCTATATCGGGGAGATTGTTCGTTTGCATGGTGTCCCAGTTTCTATCATATCTGATAGGGGCACTTAGTTTACTTCGCAGTTTTGGAGGTCTGTGCAGCGAGAGTTAGGTACTCAGGTTGAGTTGAGCATAGCTTTCACCCTCAGACGGACGGACAATCCTAGCGCACTATTCAGATATTGGAGGACATGTTGCGTGCTTGTGTCATTGATTTCGGA